CTGTATTGAGTGAAATATATAAAAATATAATTTATATAAGTGATGAAGATAACCACGCATCTATAATAGAAGGAATAAAAAAAAATAAAAATAAAAAAACAAACAAAACACATAAAATTATTTTTAAACATAATAATATACAAGACCTAGAGCAGCAGCTGCAGCAGCTGCTGCAGCAGCAACAGCAGCAGCAGCAGCAGCAGCAGCAGCAGCAGCAGCAGGAGGAAACTGCTGCAGCAGCAGCTCAACATACACCTAAAGTTATTGTATTTGAGTCTATTTATTCTATGGATGGATCTATTGCTCCTCTTTCTTCTCTTATAAAAATAAAAAAAAAATATAATTGTCTCCTTTATGTAGATGAAGTGCATGCAGTTGGTTTGTATGGACATAATGGGGCTGGCATTGCTAGCCACCTCAAACTCAACCAAGATATTGATCTCATCAATGGTTAGTTTTTTTATTTTTCTGTTTCTTTCTTTTTGTTTTTTTTGTTTTTTTTGTCTCTTTATTTGTTTTTATTTTTATTTATTTATCTGAATTTGTGTTTATATCGTTCTTTTATCTGTTATATTTATTTTTTTTTTGTTTTTTTTTTTTATGTTTATATGCATTGCTAGCCACCTCAAACTCAACCAAGATATTGATCTCATCAATGGTTAGTTTTTTTTTTTTTTATTTTTTTGTTTTTTTGTTTTTTTGTTTGTTTAGTTGCTTTTATTTTTATTTGTTTATCTATATTTGTGTTTATACTTTTGTTTTATCTTTTATATTTATTTATTTATTTTTTTTTTTTTTATTTGTTTATATGCATTGCTAGCCACCTCAAACTCAACCAAGATATTGATCTCATCAATGGTTAGTTTTTTTCTTTTTTTATTTTTTTGTTTTTTTGTTTTTTTGTTTTTTTGTTTGTTTAGTTGTTTTTATTTTTGTTTGTTTATCTATATTTGTATTTATATCGTTGTTTTATCTTTTATATTTCTTTTTTTTTGTTTTTTTTTTGTTTTTTTATTTTATTTTTTTGTGTTTATATGCATTGCTAGCCACCGCAAACTCAACCACAAAGTGAATTTTATCAGTTGTTAGTTTTTTATTTTTTTGTTTTTTTATTTATTTTTTTTTATTTATTTGTCTCTTTATCTGTCTCCTTTTTGTCTCCCTTTGTCTCCTCCTTTTTGTCTCTTAATTTGTCTCCTTTTGTCTCCTTTCTGTCTCCTTTCTGTCTCCTTTTGTCTCCTTTCTGTCTCCTTTTGTCTCCTTTCTATCTCCTTTTGTCTCCTTCTGTCTCCTTTTTATGTTTTAATTTTTGTCTCCTTTTGTCTGTCTCCTTTTGTCTCCTTTCTGTCTCCTTTCTGTTTCCTTTTTGTTTCTTATTTTCTCTCCTTTTGTCTCCTTTTTATGTTTTAATTTGTCTCCTTTCTGTCTCCTTTTTATATAATTTATATTTTAGGTACTCTCGCAAAAGCTGTTGGTGTTTTTGGTGGTTATGTAGCCGGAGACAAAAACCTCATCGATTGTATTCGTTCATACGCCAGTAAACCCTAAACCCTAAACCCTAAACCCTAAACCCTAAACCCTTGAGTGTAAACCCTGTATATAGTTTGATTTTTATCACTAGCAAAACCCTAAACCCTAAACCCTAAACCCTAAACCCTAAATAAAAAAAAACACCGCTGGATGCATCATAAACCCTGTAAACCCTAAACCCTAAACGAGTCGTTGTCTAGGGTTTATAATCTAGGGTTTAGGGTTTAGGGTTTAGGGTTTAGGGTTTAGGGTTTGTGTGTGTAGAGGGTTTTATATTTACTTCTTCTCTTCCTCCTGCTGTAGCTGCAGCAGCAACAGCTTCTATTAAATACCTAAAACAATCCAGGTATACACTAACCAACTGTCTCCTTTTTTCTTTTTTTTTGTCTCCTTTTGTCTCCTTTTTTCTTTTGTCTCCTTTTTTCTTCTCTTTCTTTTTTTTTTTCTTTTGTCTCCTTTTCTGTTTTGTCTCCTTTTTTCTTTTTCTTTTTCTTTTTCTGTCTCCTTTTTTCTTCTTCTGTCTCCTTTCTTCTTTTGTCTCCTTTTCTCTGTTGTCTCCTTTTCTGTTTTGTCTCTTTTTGTTTTTTTTCTTCTGTCTCCTTTCTTCTTCTTCTGTCTCCTTTTGTCTCTTTTCTTTTTCTTTTGTCTCCTTTTGTTTCTTTCTTTTCTTCTGTCTCCTTTCTTTATCTTCTGTCTCCTTTTCTGTCTCCTTTTGTCTCCTTTCTTTTTCTTCTGTCTCCTTATGTCTCCTTTCGTTTCAACTTCTGCTTCTATTTCTGCTGCTGCATGCATTATACTGCTGCTGCTGCTGCTGCTGCTGCCATTTCTGCTGCTGCTGCTGCTGCTGCTGCTGCTCGATGCATATTTCTATTGTTGCTGCTATCTCTACAAACAAAACC